CCCCTATCCCCTCGATACCCACCAGAAACTATTTTGCCTTTATTTCTAATTTTGTTGTAGAGAGAGTATAAGCAATAATAGGGAGGAACAAGGGTTTTTGCTGGTTGAGATAAGGATAGCTATACAGGGAGTTGACTCACATTAATTTCCTGTGCGTGTCTGTTACCTTCTAGGTTAATTCTTTTTGATCTAACCTTTTCTCTAGTTCCTGGTCCCCTTCTCCTATTGGCCTCAGTTGCTTTTAAGGTATCTGCTTTAGTTACTCTGCGTTAAGGGCAACAAATGCTAGCTAATTTTTTAGGTGTCTTACCTATCCTCACCCCTCCCTTGTGTGCTCTCGCTTTTATCATGTGCTCAAAGTCCAATCCCATTGTTGTGTTTGCCCTTGATCGCATATGAGGGAGAACATACGATTTTTGGTCTTTTGGGCCAGGCTAACCTCGCTCAGAATGATGTTCTCCAATTCCATCCATTTACCAGCGAATGATAACATTTCGTTCTTCTTCATGGCTGCATAAAATTCCATTGTGTATAGATATGTGACCTCCTTTGACCGGCGTTTTTTACTTAGCACACTGTAGCATCTATCAGTACAGGGTGAGCATCCCTTATCTGAAATGCTTGGGACAAGAAGTCTTTCCAACTTTTTTCAGATTTTGGAATATTTACATAGATGTTACCAGCTGAGTAAGTCCAAAATCTGAAATTTGCCAAAGTGGGAAACTTTTTAAGGGTCATGTCAGATTTTAGAGCACTTTGGATTTCTAGATTAGGGATACTCAACCTGCAATTCATTCCATTTTATTGCTAAATAATGTTTCATTGTATAGATATAGCACATTTTATTTATCCATTTATCAGTGGGATGTGTAGGAATTTTTGTCAGTTATGAATTATGCCACCATGAACATTTGTATACAATTTTTATATGAACATAGTTTTCTTTTTGTCTTGGGTATATGCTTAGGAGTAGAATTGCTGGACCATATTGTAATTCTACATTTAACCAATTAAGAAACTGCCAAACTGGGCTGGCAAAGTGGCTCAAGTGGTAGCGTCCCTGCCTAGCAAGTACAAGGGCCTGAGTTCAAAACCGCAGTACCACAAAAAAAAAAAAAGCTGCCAAACTAATTTCCAATATGGTTTCATTTTGCATTCTTACCAGTATGCAAGAGGGTTCCAACTTCTCTATATCCTCAACCAACATTTGTTAGTGTCTACCTTTGTGATTATAGCTCCCTCCATCCTTTCTCACACTTCCTGTCCCAAAATTCCCTAGGAATTCCTAAAGCATCACTGGGAAGCATTGAAAGTTCTCTCCCCAACTCCTCCTTCTGGAAGAGGTTCAGGAAGAATCTCAAAGAAGTCTTTTCCAATCATTGGGATTGAAACTACCAGCCCCACCCCACTGGTACTCCTATTCCTTTGCCTCATTTCATTTTTCTCCCCAGTGCCCATCACTATCTGATGTGCTGGATCATGGTCTATCTCTCCCACTTGATTACAAGCACTGCCACTAATAACAGTGTGACACCTTGGATTCACCTGAGCATCTACTGAATAAAAGCCAATAGAGAGCTGGGCACTAGGAGCTTACGTCTATAATCCTAGCTATTCGGCAGGCAGAGATCAGCTGAATCACGATTTGAGGCCAGCCTAGGCAAATAGCTTGTGAGACCCTGTCTGGAAAACATAGAAAATGCCCAACACAAAAGCGGGCTGGCAGAGTAACTCAAGTGACAGAGAATCTGCTTAGCAAACGTGAGGCCCTGAGTTCAAATAGTAAAAAAAAAAAAAAAAAAAGCCAGCAATGAGCCACACTGTCTATCCTAAGTTATACTCAAACAAACTGAAACTTTGGATCTGTACAAATAGTATGAATTTCCACATAGGGGCAGGGAAAGTCTGGTAATTTAGGTACTGTTAACTTCAAAAATGGAAAAAAAGATTCATACAAAATCTGAAGTAGGAAAACTGAAAAAAAAAAAAAAGAGGGTGGTGCTTTCTCTTTAAAAAAAGATTCCTTTTTGTCCCCCTCTAATTACTATGTTTTCCATATGAAGGTAACCTTTCTTTTCCTTTCCTTTTTTGTTTCATTTTGTTTCTAGATGCTGGAGATTGAACCCAGGGCCTCTCGTATACTAAGTGTGCACTCTACCACTGAGCTATACCTCCAGCAAGCTTCTGCTTCTTGAGCACCACCAATGACTAGAGTACAAAGGATGCCAGTCTAGCAGTAAGAGCTTCAAACTGGGCTATGAAGGATGAAAGTGTGGTGAGACTTGCAGAGTTTAGCTGACTTGAGGAGACTGGCTCTGTGTCTTGGCGATTTAAAGAACAGCACTGTACTTGATTCTTAAAAGAATCAAATGTGGGGCTGGGGTACGGCTTAATCTGTAGAGCACCTGCCGAGCAAGTGCAAGGCACTGAGTTCAACCTCCAGGACCACCAAAGAAACCCAAAAGGGTCACTCACTGGAACCAGTTGGTCACGGTCATCATCACATAGAGGGAGGCCAACAAGAACACAAAGTGGAAATAGGAGTAGCTGTAGACAGTGCCTTTCTTCTCATCGTAAATGACCCTCGGTCCCTCTTTCACGTTCTGCTGATCTTCGGTGTCTGTGAATTACAAAGGGAACCCAAGTTCAGTGAGTGAACACATGCACGCTCACCCCTTCACCAGCACAACACTTGCTCACTGCACTCCTGGAGGCTGCTGCTGAGTAGAAAAGATGTCAAATGCCATTTGTACCCTCAGGCAACTTCTACCTGTATCATGAGCACCAAACCACCACACCACCGCAGGAACTCCCTTGAAGGATAAATTGCTATGCTTAATTTAGCAGGGCAGAAGAAAGAGCCCTTGAAGACATAAAACACATTAGAAGCTTAGCAGAAAGTGAGAGAGTAGCCCAAGAGTTCTCTAGTCCCTGGACTTTTTCTTTCCAAGAAGAAAAATAAGCTGAAGGAAAGAAATGTCCCCAAAATGAGGCACTGAACCTCACTATTTTCTAAATCATTCCTAAAAAAAAAACAACTAAAACATCCAGTCAGGTGCAGTGGCTCCTATCTCTAGTTCTAGCTACTTAGGAAGACTGTGGTCCAAGGCCAGTCCCGACAATCAATAAGCAGGGTGTGGTGTGTGCACTTGTGATCCCAGCTATGTGACAGGCACAGGTAGGAGGACCCTGGTCCAGGCTGGCCTGGGACAAATTCACGAGACCCTATCCAAAAAATAACTAAAGCAAAAGGATTGGAAGTGTGACTCAAGGGATAGCGCCCTATCTAACAAAGTACAAGCCCTGAGTTCAAACCCCAGTATTGTAAAAGAAAAAAAAAATCTGCTTTTCCAAATTCACAGTGCAATTTAACTTCAATATGAGCCACAACGTAAAGTGATTTTTCCCTTGCTAAAACACCAGCACAAGCTAACAAAACCCAGCTACCCTTGAGGGAGAATGAGAAAAGTATATAAACAGTAAACCAAATTTCCCCTTGCCATTTAAGTTATCAGTGTCTGCATCCCAAATGCCTACAAGTGACAGTTACCATCTGCAAGGTCCAGAGTGAAAGTGCTCCACTTACCCTCTCCATCAGGACCAAAGCAAAAACAACACCGAGCTACCTGGGGGAGCAAAAGCAACAGAGTTAGATGCCTGTTTTCTGTTTCCTATTTCTACATCAGTAAAGCTCTTTGGCTTTTTGTGGGGAGAATGGTTGGAGCTGCCCTAACCTACATACTCAAAAAGTGTGACCAAGCATCTGTTCTTTCCCAAATGCTGGTGACAGAGAATACCACGGGCAAAGATGTGTCACTTAAGTACCCTTAAAAGAACCTGGTGCTTACTGCAATTACTGTGATCGCTGGAAGCAAAACCTCCAGATTTCTGCTCCTTTCTTTATAGGCTCTGCTCAGCTCCAGAGCCACCCCACCCAAAGGCAAGACCTTCTTGGGTACACCCATTGAATGACAGACCATGTGTAAAAAGTGTAAAAAGGCCCAGCCGTTAGGACCACCTGGGTACACTCTGAGGGATCGCCTATGTTCTGGAACAACCCCTGGAGTTAGTGAGGTTTGTCCAGCCTGCACTGCCCTTTAAGTTCACCTTATTCCCAATTCTGCCCCTTCCCCTTCTGCTCCTCCCTCCACTAATAACCATGCTGCCTCTGTTTTCATTCTGGAAGACTCAACCTGAAACTACAGTGAATGACAAGGATGTACTCTCCTCACTCCCTTCTGTGGCTCTGCTTTACAGGCCACCTCATCAAATCCTCTTCAACTTCTGAGGCCAGGATTAGGCTCCTGTTCACAGCTGAAGAAACTGAGTCAGGCAGGTTAAATAGCTCTCCTGAAGTCACCAAATTAGCTCAATGACAGAGTTGGGACCCAAATGCAGGATGGAGACCCCCATCCATTGTGTCCAGGATTCACAACACGTGACATGCTGGAGCTGACAGAATCTGAAATGGGACATGAAGGAATTTCTTATTAAAATCAGACTGCCGGAGCCAGCAGTGTGGTTCAAATAGTAGAGCACCTGCCTAGTAAAGTGTGAGGCCTTGAGTTCAAACCCCAGTATAACAAAGGAAAAAAAGGAGTGGTGAAGGGAGAGGCCAGGTAATGATGAAGAACATTTCTGAGAGCAACAGTGCCCCTGGAGAGAATCTCAGCATTGGAAGATGTGATGTGTCTGAATATCTTAATCAAAGACAATCATCAAAGAGTATCTTGGATTAATGATTAAAGGAAAATGAAATACACAGAGTAAGAAAAAACAAAGCACATGGAAAAACCAAGATAATTAAACAACAAACAAAATAGTCAGTCTGCTGAATCAGCCGCAAACATGGATGGATGGGATGCTTGCCTCTGAGGGATAGTGCTTTTTGAATTTCATATTGTATTTCTTACTTATTCAAAATGATAATCTTCATGAAAAGAAATGAAGTTGTGAAAAATGAATACATGATTGCAGAAAGACTGATAAAGACTAAAAAGCACAATGTGTACCAGTCTGGGAGGCATTGGGTTCTTGCTATTTCCTAGCAGAAGATACGTGAACTGCAAAAAACAGAGAGGCAGGACCAAGGATGAGGGAGCTTAAGCCTTCGTCCCATTTGTACAGCTCCAGGCCAAGCGCTTGTTTCCTTTCTCCATGGCAAGGAAACTTGTAATAGGGGCACCCTATCCTTGACAGGCCTTGGATCATGTGATGCAATGTATGATTCACTAATTCATGCAGTGGGCCCAAGACACAGTAAGCCGAGGTCCTAGTTCTTTTGAAGCTTAAGTTACCACTAGAAAACATCAGTCCTTTCAAAGGTGTATCCTGTGAAAAATGATGCAGGAGAGCAAACCCACAGGCTTAAAGGAAAACACTGGGTTTCCCCTCCAAGTAAGAACAACATTCTTTCTTAAATCTAACCTAGAGATTTGCTGTTCTTTGAACTTAAACTCTCTGTACACAATAGGGACATTGAAACCATAAAGGTCCAACCACAGCAGGTGGCCACCCAGTCAGTGTTGAGAACAAACGCCTACTTTCTAGAGCCCATTCTCTTCTGTACAACCTATTCAAATCCCAGCACAGTTTTCTCCTCTAAGTGACAAAAAGAGCTGGTAAATGATGCTGGCAGAGTGACAAGCCTTCATAATGGTCCACTATCTCTGGGTCAGGTGCAGGAAAGACCATCCCTAGACATGCAGCTGCAGAGTCAAGAGCCTGTATCTGGACAGACACTCAGCTCTTCCACTTAGAGAAATCATTAGAATGCAGCCAATGGCTGAGTACCAGGCAAGGCCAGCAGCAGGGACCAGAGGACAGCAGCTGAGCCCCTGGGCAACAGGGTCAAGAATAAGACTCTAGGACCATATCCTGGCAAATAGAAGCCTGTCTTAACTTTTATTTTTGGATCAGGGCTAAATCTTTTCCTGATTGTCTCTATCTCACTAACCTTTCTGACTATGGTACATGTTCCATCAATAGCCCCACATAGCAGCTGTGGACTGTTCTGATGCTTTGCACTTGCAGGCAAACGGTCACCAATGTATCTACTATTCATAATTCTTCACCCAATGACTTGCCCACCTGATGGAACTGATATACGATTAAGGCAGTCAATGTATCAAACATGTTTGGCACAGTGTCTGCATGGAGTACGTACAGTTCCTTCCCTTCTCTGTCTTTCTCTCTTCCTTCAGAACAGCTGTTGCATAACCTCATAGATATTCTGTGTATGGACGGGTGGATATAAAACAGATGAAAAGACTAGAAGTTAAAAACAAACAAACAAACAAAAAAACCAAACAAGAAACATCCATACTCTTATTATGACCTAAGGAAAGAGCAAGGTAGAGCCTGACAAGGTTACCCAAGCCTCTGGTGGGGACAGCCAACATTGTTGGAGGAAATGCAACAATTGGTTCATTCACTTTAATCCCACAGTATATACAGGACATTTCTTTTTCTATACAAAAATCTTATTCTTCCCCAGGCAGAAAAAAAACAGGATCATGGAGTGCAGACTGATAAACACACAAACACAAAAGGCCTTCATGGGAAATGAGTCTTGTGTTGAAGCAGGACAAGAAAAGAAAATGAACTTACCTCCAGTTCAGGAGCTGCATACCGCCCCTGCAGAGCATCAGAACTGGATCTGGTTGTTGATGTCAAACTAAGAAACAAACAGAAAATTAGCTGGTCATGTTAACATGTAATGTCACCTGGAAGGAAACAGAAATCTGCCTGGCCAATGCCCCAATGAGAGGCTCACAGTAACCTATAGTTCTGGTCCTTAAGTGAAAGTCCACTGTCCTCCTTACCCTCACCTGTGGACTTAACCAATCTCAGATCAGAAATACCTGGGGGCTGGGGTTTTATCTGTACTGAACACATACAGATTTTTTTCCCCTGTCCTTACCCTAAAGGATACAGTATAGTGACTATTTACATAGCATTTACATTGTATCAGGTATTACAAATAATCTAGAGATAATTTAAAGTAAATGGAGGATGTGTAGGTCATATGCAAACGGCACACCTACACCATTTTCTATAAGAGACTTGAGCATCTGCAGATTCTGGTGTTGGAGGAGGGTCCTGGAACTAATCCTCAACAGACTCTGAGGAATGACTGCAATCTATTTTAATATTCTACTTTATTTCCAAACTAGCTGGCTGAATTCTACAGCTTCTGTCTTTTTATGTGGAGCACATTAAATCTTTCATGCAAGAAGTGTGTACTTAGAGAAAGATGTCTTCTGTCTTCATTTTCACTATCGGTCTTTGCTTTTCCTCCCTCAAATGCTAGAATAACTTCCTGATTTCACATTTATCTTTCTTCCCCTTGACCAGTCTCACTTAGAAGGGATCAAAGGTGATGGGAGAGCCCAAAGGAGCAATAGAAAAGCAGGAGGATGGCAAGTTCCAGGCCAGCCTGGGCTACCTAGTGAGACCCTGTCTTGAAAAATCAAAAAGGAAAAAGCGAATGAATTTTTAAAAAGCAAAAAAAGGCATGAATGCAAAGGCCACAGTCATTTACTGTGATAGTCAGCTGATGGCAGAATGATGTTTTTTCCTTTGAAAATTTAGCAGAGTAGTTCTCAGTATATTACAAAAACTCCTCCTACTATTTTCCCCACCCCAAAAAGGTGAGATGTTATAAAATTTAGCTTCCAGGGTAAACACATTTATTTCCCCCAAAAAACAAAAACAGGAAACATTTTAAGCAAATTCAAATATACACAACACTTAGGATTCTAGCTAACTTTATAGATGCATTTAGCAAAAGTGTGGAAGGTTTACTATGTGTCAGGCCCTGTTCTGAGCACTGGGGACTCCTCAGTGAAAAAGGCAACAATCCTGCCTCATGCAGAGATGGGGGTGAGTGTCACTGCTCAAAAAGCTGGTCTGCTGGTGGAGGGCAGAAAGTAAGACTCATCTGCAGCAAATTAACCCATGACGCGGCATGGCCTTCTTTGCTCGTACCCTCTTTCCCGAGGAAAGAAGAAATCCATGAGCTATAGAGAAGCAGTAAGAAGCCTTGCTCACAAAGCAGTCCTCTGGGATCCATGCCTCGTGCTTCTTCTGTACTTATTCAAGATCAGCAGCATCACTTTCACATCTGCTTTGAACAGATGGACACTGGTCCAGGCCCAGTGCACTCCCACTTCCTGACTGGGAGCCGGGTCAGATGCAGGATGGAAATACTTGACCACTGGCTCTGCATCCAAGGAATCTACACATCTGCTCCTGCACTTACGACTGCCCTGTATTTTGTGCAGATGGACTATGCTTTAGTAGAGCATAAAGTTTCCATAGTGGAGAGCATAACTCTTAATTTTTGGATGAGATTAGTGTCTGAAATATTCATCTAGAAGATGATGACTATTCTTTATGAGTTATTATAAACACTCCATTTTATAAATTCTTTGGAATAAGTGTTTCAGAAAGACGTAACTTGACTCTAACATCTCTGTCATTTCAATTCCACTATCACAGAGCACTAAAACAGGAAGGTTTTACTTTTATTGTAAAAATATTTATATCCAGTTCATCATTATTGACATGTGACTTCTCCAAGTAGATGTTACCATAATACAAGGCCTTTATTTAGTCATAGCCTTTCCCTATAGAGCATTCTTGATATTATCAAGAAAATACTAGTTTTGTAGGCTCTCTAGGCCTAGGAAATTCTTATGGTTGGCATGCAAGCTATTACAAAGACCCATCTATTTGACTTTGTGCTATAAAACAACTCCAAGGTCATCTTTAAGATCTCTCCAGGGGTAAGGAATATGTGACCTTAGCCCAGTACTTCCTACAGGGGAGCAGGAGACTAATAGCACTTGATTGAGGCAATACTTCAAAGACGTCAACCGCACTGCACCGCACCAGCACCAATACCAGCACCAGCACCAGCAGGAGCAGTATGTTTACTTTCTCTGGGCCCCACCTAAAATGTCCCAGTGCCTTGCATCCTTAAGACATCCCCCAAAATGTGTTCCCCCCTTTCCTTCCCCTCCTGAAACCACTGCAGTACCCAACACATCCTCCGTATTTCCTCCATATTGGCAGAGTGAATCACAACGCAGGGCTCCTTGACCTCCTGGCTTTAGTTGAATATGGTGCTGCCAGTCTCCTGCTCACAGAAAATCTCTAAAGAACATACCCAGACTATGTTATTGGCAATCATGGATCCTGGCCTCCCAGATGGACTTACAGGGCAGGCCCTGGACCCCTCCTATGACTACTGCCAACCTTTGTGTGACAAAGTTCAAAAAAATTCCCAAGTAGTATGTAATCCATGACTCATGGCTTCCAAAGGAGACCAGAATCCTGCGTGACCTGAGTGAGCCCACCCCATGCTCCTAATAGAGCCATGAAGATTTCTAGCTAGCAGGTTAGGCAGTAGCAGAATTCTCAAAATAAAGATAGAAACTACCACTCCTTCCTTTTTTTCTTTTTGTAGTCCTGAGTCTTGAACTCAGAGCCTCATGCTTTCTAGATAAGCACTCTACCACTTGAGCCATACTCTCCAGTCCTTTTGTTTTTTTACTTCAGACAGTGTCTTGCACCAATTTTTCTGGGGCTTGCCTCAGACAGTGATCCTCCTACCTCTACCTCTAGAGTAGCAGAGATTACAGGCTTGCACCACTACATCCAGCCCTCCTTCCTTTTTTTTCTTAAATGAAGTAGCAGGCCCAGAACATACCAGAAGAATAAATAACTTGATGGCTATCTTTTCTCAGTGGAAGCCAACCTTCTCTTCAGTGAGATCACACTAACTGTGATCCACTTGGTCTGCTGAGTTACTGTGAATGTTCCATTTTGAACTGGGATGTTGTTTAACATTTAATAAAGATTCTTAGTTTTTCTAATTTTGAATTCAAAGGATATTTTCCTAGAGAGCTTAAATACTAAGGAGTTAAGTTTTTTCCTCTTAAGCATAACTAACAATGAAAAAGACAGGGAACATTTCAGAGCAAAAAATGCATCCTAGTAGTCTAATTATACAAGTCATTCAGCTTACAGTCCTGTCTTAAGAGAGGGGTATTACCTCAAACCATTCCTGGGATTGGGGGTGGGGAGACAGTCTGCCAACCTGTCTCTCCAAATCCTCCAGCAAAGGAGACTCAAGAAAAGGACTTCTGAAATTGGGGTAGAGCACTGCAGGAACAGACTTCATCCCTTTATGTCCAAAGAGGGAAGTGACCTTGACAGATTCCAAGATCCTGTCTGGCCTGATGGCTTGAGCTTAAAGTCAATGGAATAACAACCTCAATCAAAATCTGGAGAGCAAGGAGGGAGTAAGGAAATCGCTGGTGGAGGCTGGGATTTGTCACAGCAAGGATGCAGGACTAGCAGGTCTAGAGGAAGGACCTACAGAAAGAGCCATCAAGGAACTCCAGCAAGTTGAATCTCACCAAGGCCAAGGTAAAGGCCTTCCTGGGATCTAAGCTGGGGCTCATTCATAGCAAGAACTCCTGGGAGCCAGGGAAGGGGCCTCAGGAGAAAAGTTTCCCATAGGCAGAAGGCCAGGAGTAAGTTTTGGCTAAACAGTACCTTCGGCTGAGATAACACAGAGAAAAATGTACCTCCCAGTGAGGACCCCAACAGCAGGACTCAAGACAGAAGACAGCCCCTAAAGAAATGGGTTTTGGGGAAAGGGGGAGGGAGACTCCAAAGGGATGAAAGTCATTCAGTGGTCAGAGCCCTATTTTAACCTTACCAAAAGTGACCCCCAGGCGAGCTGGGCCTTGCACTGAACATTGGGATGTCTTCTCCTTTAGCCTGCATGCCACCCACTGTCTTCTGGCTCCCTGCAATCACTTTTAAAAATTCTAGATATTGCAATCACGTTCAAGTGACAGTTTCTGCCCAAATGACTGCGGCTTCTTTTTGCATCATGACCCAACCTCTCATTCCTCTTACAGGAAAGAAAATGTAAACTTTAGGAAGTCAAGATTTGAAAAGCCTCTCACTGAGCTGAGGCCTATCCCTATCAGAATTTCCTTTTTTCAAGGGCCTGCTGAGTCCGAATTCACTCTCCTGTGATCTTGAAGCCAGTGTGTTTATAGTGTTCTCCAAACTGACTCCTTGTGGGGCTGCCATGGGTAATTACAGCAGCCATTAATCACCAAAGCTCCATGTGGCTTCACTAACTCCTGGGAGGAATAAATCGCCTAGCAATACAGAGTACTCCTGCCCACATGTTACAGAAACATCTCGCGGAACAACCTGGTTATTCCTTATCTCCATATTGGGGTACTGCTGTTTCATGTCTCCCCAACATTGGCCAATAAAGTTATGCAGTTTAATTACTAGCATTCAATAACAACATTTGTTGTTGGCACTTAGATTTCAAATAGCAGCTGTCAGCTTTGAAATTGACATCTTTTGAGAATATCAGACTAGCCCTTGCCAACCCTCCACTATGATGCCTCAATTCTGAAATAGATACTTTATTTACTGTCTTTCATTCACAGTGGCTAAAAAGTGATTTTTCCCCACCCAGTTCTGGGGAGAGAACACTGAACCTTTGCACATGCTAAGCAAGCACTCTACTACTGAGTTATACACCCAGTTAAAAGTGATTCTTTACACCTGCTAAAAATCTGATCAGGTATAAATTTCACACTGCAAAATACCTCCACAGGTGACAATTCTATTTGGTGCACTAAGCAGAATTTGTGCCATCTTTTTTACTGATGGTGTATAGCAAATCCAAATTCCCTGTTTTGCCCCTTAAGGAGCAAACATACTTTTCTATGTTCTGCTGGGCTTCTGGCAACCCACAAAAAACATATGTTTTTATTCTATTAAATACCTTTATAGATGTTTCTGATAATACAAAAATGATGAAAAGAAATGCTACCACTGCAAAAAACATTTTTTTGTTAAGAACAAAAAGAACAGGCTAGGGGCATTGGCTCAAGTGATGGACATCTGTCTTAAGAAGTGGGAGGACCTGAGTTCAAAACCCAGCACCGTACCACAAAAGAAATAAAGAACAAAAAGAAGAGGCAATAATCAGTGATCCTTAATTCCAGTACAGTTATAAATTCAGCTTATTTTCTTCCTAGATGTTTTCTATATGTAACACAACTTTATTTTTAAAATGCAATGATCTATATGTGCATTTAGTAACCTATTTCTCCCTTGATTTACAAGGATTTTTACATGAAAAATCCACTACAGAAAATAACTGAGTAAGAACCCATGAAGTTAGCCCAATGCTGCTGCCATTCACCACCCCCCCAAAGCCACAGTAACAGACAAGGAAAGGAAGGAAAAGCTTGAGGAAGGAAGAGCTAAGAATCAGGACTCAAATCTTGGTGGCTCTGTGGGTTTACTGAAAATGTTCACTGACTTGGGCTTGAATCCCATTCACCATCTGGATATAGCAGGTATTCATGAACAATTTATAGAATAAAAACAAAAGGCCAAAACTTGGCACCATGGTCCCTTCTGATGCCAACATGAGACCCTGCCGCACTGTCACGGACTGAGAATCAATGTCAGACAACCATGACGTTAACTACCTGGAAAACGAGCAACCGTTTTCTGGCTAACTCTGAGCAGACTCTGTTTCTGTTGGCCCCTTTGTAAGGCTTGAAGGTATAAGAAGGTATAAGTACCATCACACTTGGAAAGGCATTTTATTACACAAGCTATCACCACCAGAATTGTTTCAGAAAAAGGAAGTGTATAATGTGTGCATGACAAGTTGAATTTCTTACACACTAAAACTTAATATGCAAAAATGCAAAACAGAAGTAAAACCTAATGTGTAATGGCTACTGCCAAAAGGAAGCTTACTCATCAGAACAGCTACTTCTATCCTTGCCTTCTCTGTCCAGCAATCTTTGAGACATTTTAAAAGCAGAGTAGCCTCCACCATGAGCATCTGAAACACAGCTTGTTTATGTATGTCACACCAACTTTGGGACGTGTTGCCTCACCTACTTAACAGCATCGTGGGGCTCGGCATACAAGAAGAGAGACATTTCCTGGGGCTCCGCATACAAGAAGAGAGACATTTCCTGTCTTTCCTGGACCATCTGCAGAATGACCATGTATGCAATGCTCTGTTCTCATTCCATCAACAATGGGACAAATGCTATTTACTTTGGATTAGAAAGCTGCCAGAATATTCTGGCACATTCTATCTCTTCTTCACTTTGTGACCCTTCCTCTTCAAGAGCTCTATAGCAACTATTAAACTGTCTTTTAAAGGCCATTAGGCAATGGTGCCACCAAATATCATGTATTTATTTTATCTGCCTCATATAAATACAAGTAAGCTAAGGGGAGTTCAAATATGCAGAGTTCATGAAGTAACATAGAGTGTTACTTCTGCCTCAGATGGTATTTGTTTTGATGCCTGATAGTGGCTGAAACTTATTTCAATTCTTTCTCTGTAATTTTAAAGTCTACAAATTGACCTCAAGTGACTCCTAAGACTTACCATGAATACAAGATGCATGCAATCAAAAGGGTGGTACCCAGTCCAATCACCAAGTTTTCATCTCTATACAGTTCTTGACCAAAGTTGGGCACACAGATGGTTACATTCTTCCCATGGTCATCTAGAACTTGAAAAGAAAACCAAGTAATCACAGACAAATTAGAAAGGACTATTGCAATTCACAGGCCCATTCATTTTGGAAAAATTCAGGTAGCTCCGGTGTGACTCAGAGCAGGGAGCCCTACTGCTGCAAACATCTACTGTACCATCAGATTCTACTCAGGCCAGGCTTTTGCTGTTTCAAAACCCCACCATCGCACATCAACACACACATGGAACAAGACCCCCACATTCCAGTTCGGTGCTAAAGACTTTTCAGTCTTGTTCTTTTTCAACATTATTTAAACAAGAGTAAAAAGAAAAATGAGATCCACTTTTCTCTGGGTTCAGCAGTATCTGAAGAGCGGAATAGGGTGCCAGTCCCCAGGTGTGCTGAGGCCAGTCAACAGCCAACACAGAAGCAATTTAATAAGCTCCTGGCCCAGTCTCTTAACCCAGAGAAGTTAGTTTATTGTACGTAACAGTAAACAGGTCACGGCCTCTTTCAGTCTGTAATTTGAGAGCCTCCTAAGGTGGTCTTTTAGCAAAATTTTGAGGCTATGTATGAAGATTTCTATATTACCATCAGTGGTAATTTACTTTTTGCCTAACATTGTATCTTCAATTTTGAACACTCAAGTTACATCTGGTTGCCAACTTGGCCCGAAAATAAGGAACATAAACACAAAACTTAACAGTCTAGAAACCACTTCACATACACATTCTGCTTGAAGTTAGACTAAAATTATCACTAGTATTCACACTGGAAACAGTAAATTTAACTATGTGTGCTGTGGTTTAAAAAAGACCTTTATTCTTAAGCCAATGAAAAACGTTTTAAGAAAAATGAACAAAATACAACTTCTCTAAGTAGTATCCTCTAAAATTAAAAAAAAGTGTTTTCCTGCTTTTAAGTGATACTTGCTATTTAAAAAACTACTGTGAACAAAAACCCTATTCAGTTAAAAACAGATTAATGCATAAAAGTCATAAAAGAAAGTCTTAAAGACTGATTTAAATTAACTTTAGAGTCAAGGTGGACTTTAAAAAAAATTAACTACAGGATAGACTACACTTACCATAAGACCTCCACTCATCACTTTGTACTATAAACAGCTCTAGGGATAAGACCTACCCATGAATACTACGTGTGCATGCTAAAACCTTCATTCAAAACTATCACAGCATTTGCCTTTTAAATTTGAACAACTTCAATTTTCTATTCTAAGCAGACTATATTTACTTATTTTTATTATTTATTTATTTATTCATATTTTGCATACATTGTTTGGGACATTTCTCCCTCCTGCCCCTGCCTCTCCCTCTCCCTCTCCCCTCAACCCCCCTTGCTTCCAGGCAGAACCTGTTCTGCCCTCTTCTCCAATTTTGTTGAAGAGAAGACATAAGCAATAATAAGAAAGACAAAGCGTTTTTGCTAGTTTGAGATAAGGATAGCTATGCAGAGAGATTTCTAGCATTGCTTCCATGCACATGTGCGTTACAACCCGAATTGATTCATCTCTACCAGACCTCTTCACTACTTCCTGGTCACCTTCCCATAGTGGCCTCTGTTGTTTTAAGGTTACTGTATTAGCTCCTCTGCAGTGGGGACATCAAACACTTTCAAGTTTGGGTTTCCTACCTTTCCCTACTCCTCCTGTAGGCACTCTCCCCTTAGCCTGTGTCCCATGTCCTATAATATTACTGCATTTGTTTTAGGTCTAAAGTCTGCATATGAGGGAGAACATATGATTTTTGGCCTTTAAAGAGACTATATTTACTTAACATGATTTATATAGGATAGAATTTACCCCAACATACACACATTCATTTTCTTATGTGTATATATATATATATGCATATATGTACACTTATATGTCACAAAAGTGATAAAGATGAAAATGCTGAGTTTAGATATCAAAAAAGAAACTTTGGTATTTTGCTGGCAAGTCTTGGGGGCTCGTAAGAACACCTCAGAATATAATAATACTCTCATAGCTTAAAAATCTTTCAAATAATCATTGCAACAACTCCACAATCACAACAGTGAACCCAGCACCTACTATGTGCCTAGAACTCTTCTAAGTGACTGGTACGTATATCTAGATAAGACATTCTCCCTGAATTTTTAAAACCACTCTATGGACCAGGGACTGGTGGCTCATGCCTATAATCCTAGCTACTGAGGAGGCAGACATCAGGAGGATATTGCTTTGAAGTCATCCTGGGCAAAACAGATCAAGAGATCTATCTCAAAAAAAAAAAAAAAAACCCTTCACAAAAAAGGACTGGTGAAGTGGCTTAAGGTATATGCCCCGAGTTCAAGCCCTAGTTCCTCCAAAAAACAAACTAACAAAAAACACTCTATAGAAACAGGTTATAAACCCAGGCAGTCTGGCTCCAACCACTGTGTTCTGTTGTCTTTGTAAATAAATGTCATTTACGATTAGCAGGTCATCTTGAGTTCAAGATCACCGGCTAGCAAATGGTAGACCTGGGTCTGAATCATGCCTCCTGCTTCCCTTTCCTCCATAGTCTTTTCACTCCCTCTGTTACAGTCAAAGAAATAACCTCTGAAAGAAAAGAAAGTAAGAAAAATTTTAAAATGAAGCAAAAATTAAAAAAAAATTCTTCACAACACAGAGAAGCAAAATGTAAACTAGGCCTAAACACAAACTCAAAAGTGACTTTTGTTCATGTCTTTTCCACAAAGGTGGAAGACCCAAATGAAGGAATTTTCATTTTCACAGCCAAGTTAAACACTTTAGTTCGTGAAAAAGTCTAGTCTTCTTGCTTCTTTGATTTATTGAGTCCTTGACATTTCAATAATAGCTCATTCCTCCATGAATGAAAACATTCGTACCGCAAGCACATGCTTCCTACTAAGGCTTACCTACTTCTACAGGTTTGCTGGACAGAGCAGAGAAAGTGAGGTACGTGACATAGCAGCTTATGAGTCCTGACTGCAGGAGCCCGGAGTGTGGCTGTCCTAGAAATGATGAGACAGATGGGAGACAGTTTTTAAGTTTCAGCAGTAAGATGGTACACTCTCAAAGAACAGATTCCCTCCTCCCTGCCAGAATTACACTCCTTAAACATAATGCCACTTCAGAAAAGAGGTACCTCATGTGTCTCTCAGACAAAACTAAAATTTAGTGCAGGGGTGAAGGAAGTGGGGGTCATGCACTTACCCTAATACTGCTATTTTAGAAATGACAAATTCTCTACTGACATCTCATCATCTGTCGTGGGCAAAGGAGTCTTAGAGTACACTGTTTAAGTACAAGAGTTGATCCGGGCTAACTTGAAAGCTGTGGGATGTGGTATTCATTGGTACTCATTGAGGGAAAGGCTTTAAAGTTACAAAATTTAAGTTAAACTTAGTGTTTGGATCATTCAGAGTAAATACGGATTTGGTAACAAGGGATTTCTCTATTGTGAAACTTTTCAACCATCTGCTGACATGAAAAGATTCAGTCTTTCATATCTGGCTAAAATTTCATATCTGGCTAAATTAAGAGGAATCTCATAATATTCCTCTTTGCATGGGAATAAGAATTGCTTATCTTAGCAACTCATGGCATTAAATCAAATATTATAAATGCTCTACCTATTTCAAAAGGCAAGATTTAACCCAAAATTTTAATCTGAATAGCAATACTGTGTTTTACAAAATTCTTAACTGATCTATTAAAGGGGCTGGGAGAATAATCACCTCAATTTCAATAACGGACTGGAAATTTTTTAGTACTGAAAAATTTTTAGTTCTGAAAAACTTGTTTGCCACTGGTTACTTTTTTAAACCATTATTTTAGAAAGTATTCAAGGTGGCTATAAATTTATTGTACAAATTTTCCCTTTCCAACCTAGAAATCTGAATGTCATGTGCATATTAATCACCAATAGAATAGATGTTTCCTACAAGAGACTAGACTAGGAACCTCTCTCTATAACCCCAGAGTCCATGCAATAGCGGAAAACATCAGAAGTAGTTTATAAATGACAACTCACACCTCCACTTTCTAAAGCACTTTCAAACCCCACTGTCTCTTCCTTTATGGCTTTGAAACAACCACAAGCAAGGTCAGGTTTGCATGTTTCTGCTGACTTCACTGAGTAAGGGCCTGGGTCTGAGGACAGCTGCTGCTGGGATAGGATTTCCTGCTTCCTGACAGTGGACCACGCTGTCCTGGCTTTCTGGTTCACAGCTTGATTGAAAGACAGCCCCAGAGATAGCTCTTTCCTGACTCCTCTCATTCAAGGTTTACCCAGAGATTACAGGAAAAACTCACAAACACCTTGCTTAACATAGACTAAGCTCATTTCCCAACTATGGCTCTTTGTGGTATATTAAGTTCGGGACTTTCTGGCCACAAGGCAAACATGGCTATCACCTTCAGCCCAGCCCCAGGACATGAAGAGAGGACTGGAGTCCCACCCTTCCTACTGCAGACCCATCCACAGAAGGTTAAAGAAGACCTGAATTGGGTTTCTTCAAATACACTTAGAGAAGATAGAAGCACAGAAGAATAGAAAAGCCTTGCTTACGATTCTGGACACAGGGTGAAATGGCTACCATTGAGATCAGCAGGCACAGGCCTCCGTGCACTCCCAGGAGAATTTTGTTCTCTATGCAGTCATCTTTCTGTGTGTAGAATACTGCCATGAAAATCAAGCCTCCGGCAGCAACAGAATACATGATAAGCGTCACCAGGGACAAGGAGGCGTACCACAGCTTGTTACTGGCAGTGCCAGCGGTCCTGTTTCTCCAGGAAATGGGTGAGACAGAGAAGAGAAAAGACAAATCAGTGATGGCTCCATTCTCTGCCATCTTCCACCCCTCAGGCACTGACTGATGCTATCAGCCTCACCACTGCCACCAGAATCCACTGTGCAGACGACACGGTTTAGCAATGAGTATGCCCATCACAGCTAGAGAGTTCTCATAAGCATGCCAGCTTTTTGGCTCAGCCTTAGAATCTTCTTTAAACATTGGAAAAATTTTCTTTTCTGACTCTTTGCTAGGGTTCCCTTCAAGTTTTCTCCATAAATGCAGAGCCTGGGGTTGCCACTGACTCTGGCTCCAAATGTTGCCAACAGCTCCACTAAGACTCCACCTACTCTTTACAGAGAAGCAAACGCAAGCCTGGCCCACCCAACTCTTTTCTCCCTGTACTGAAAGAAGTACTGAAAGAATCATATTTCTTCTCCCAAATATCAGGAAATATTAAAGGAGAATTGACATTAAAAAACAGTGAATAAAATCAGGCAAAGAAAAACGTGTACCATGTACCATGGGATGTATCATGAAGAAACTAAGGGAAGGGATTTGTGTGCCTTCTGGTTAATATAAATATTAATAAAGTGGTGGTTTAAATCTATAGAAATTGCTCAGAACAAAGAGTGTACATAATGTTAAATGACAAAGACAGAACAAAAGAGAGATGGACTGAATCACTGTCATCTGCCCCAGGATTCAACTGCTCTCTGTAACCAAATTCTCCCAAACCTTCACAGAGAAAGCAACTTGTCTGATGTTTTCACAAAACTGGAAAACGTTCAAGCAACCCAGCTAAAATGTATTACTGATGGAAAAATTACTGCTGCCAGAGACCAAAAAATAGGGAGCAAAGGCCAAAATGATAATGACCATCAAATTCCTGAAACCAAGCCAGACACTTCAATGACCACAGAATTATCTTACAAAAAAGGCACACAAAGGAACTGAGAGAGAAATGAGACTCAAGAAGCAGGGGGGGAGAGGATCTAAGAGCCAAATAATAACTGATGACAAGGAGACAGAGTGAATTATATATAAAAAGGTAAACACTGTTGATTAGTGTGGGGAGGTCCAACTTTTTCTCCAGTCTTTTGGATTATGCCGTTATTATTATAAGAAGGATTTCCTTATATTTATATTCCCAAAGTTAAATGTTTGACCCTAACCCCTCCCCTGAACTCCAGACTCACATTACTCCATGTCTCCACTTGGGGGGTCTACTTTGCACCTTAAACTTAGCTCATCTAGGATGACTTTCCTATCTATATTCACACCTCCCTTTTCCAAAACTCCCCCCAAACCTGTGTGTAATCTTCCCAACCTCAGAGAATGCCAACTCCATTGTTCCCATTGTTGGGAAAATGGCAGGGGAGAAATAGGAAAAACATTAAGTGCAGCCGCTCTGAACTCTTCTCTGGCAATGCCACCTACACCCACTATGAAGCCATCTTTACTTGTTCCATGTTCAGATTATACCAGAATCTGACCACTGCTGCCACCTGCTTCCAATCTACCCCCTGTCACCTGGATCACCTCCCCACTGGTCTCTTTGCATACACCTGTTCCTCTCTAATCTTTTCTCAATTCAAAACATAGATTCAAAACCCTTGTGTGCCCTCCAACATCTCTCTTAAACAAAAGCCTTAAGGGAAGGGATGTCACTCATGATAGAGCACTTAACTATCATGCACCAGGCCCTGCATTTGATCCTTAGCTCTACAAAAAAATTTAAGAAAAAGAGTAAAAACCAAACCCTTTGCACTGGCTCCCAAAGGCACTGCAATCAGCACAAAGCTACCTCTGATGTTATCTCCTACACTTCCTGCACAACTGGGCCCAAGCCACAGTCAATCCCCTTTGCTCCTTAAATGAACCCTAAACTTTAAGGCCCACAGGGTCCTGCCTCAGGCTCTCCCTCAAAAGAGCACAGCCTACCCAGCTCTCCTGAACCCTCTCACACTTCTTCACCAATGAACCTATTGCATAGTTGCTTGATTCCATGTTGAGTACTCTCCTCCCTCCCCCGAGAACACCAGCCCCAGGCCATGGCTGTGCACCCTGCTAACTTGTCACTGCCTAGACTGGTAGGTGATCACTGAACACTAATGCCAAGACTATCACCTGTTAAAAATAACTTTAAGCAGCAATGTTAGCAGAGAGGCTGCTGTTCCTGCTGCTTCAACTTCGTCTGGTCCTCTGGATGGCATCTTGTTTTTGGAAATAGCTCAAATAAGTACATGACTTATGTATCTTTGTAGTCTCCATGCCTACCACAAAGTTGTCTGGTATATATATTCCAAAATGCATGCTGAGTAGTGCAAGTGAGATGGGATAGAGAAGAAAAAGGACTAGGTTAACAGGGCAGAGTCCACAGACACAGCAGCAAGTGAGCACCAGGCTGGGAATGCTGGGTGAGCTCAGGTTTAGGGAAGCGTCAGGATTAAACTAAACCCAACAAAGTGAATTTTAAACCTAGTATGTCTTGAAAAGGATTTTCATACAAAACACTAGATTACATTATCTACTTTCTGTTATTTCAACTTTTTAAAATACAATCGACACTTTCAGTCATAAGATTTGACCTAGAAAGCCAAAGACAAGAACAACAACAAAAATTCAACATTTAGTCCAATCAACTCCATGATTTTACAACATGAAGACTGAGGTCGAAGGGGCCAAGCGTGATATGCCCTAAAGAGGAATGGTAAGCTAGAGGGTGACAGATGCTGACATCTGCTTTCTTCTGGCTTCTCTCCTACTGTGTTAGGTATCTTCTCCTCCTCAACATACTTACAAGAGCAAAAAGAAAAAAAAAAAGGAAAGAGAGAAGAAAAAGCTCCATCTAGGAAGCTGTTCCAACAAGAATGACACACATATTCTCTAGACCATCCCATTAAGGAAGATTTTCTTTAAAAGCACAGCAGAAAGTAGGCCAAATCAGATAAAGTTTAACAGAAAATAACAGTATCAATGAGCTTCCTAGCTTATTCCTAATTTTAGGCAGACAAATCAACTATAAATATGTTCACAAAGGGGATTTTTGTTGGGATTTTGTTCTCAAAGTCTGGGCACCAGCAACAGTATTTGTTGCAGAGCTCTTAGGCTGTTCTTACTGAGCAGCTCCAGGAAGTTTTAAAGCAACCAAACTCTTCCAAAATAGCTGTTGAAACTTGGCACTGATAACAGGTTCCAGAAAGTGGTTCTAGGATCAATCAAAGCATTAATGTCAGAGTGCAAAAGCACAAAGTATTCCCAAGGGAACATGCGATTTAAGGGTCAAACCAGGAACTCAGTACCCAAGATGTTAATTTTTTACCATCAAGCACCCTACTAGAAGTATATTTGTAAAAATTTTAGGAATGCATATTTATTTTGTCTAATTCAAAAGAAACAGTGAAAGTTCACACATTAAGAACTACTTGGAAGTGATGTTAATCAATTAAAATACATATGCAAGTTTTCATGGCTATTTCTTCTATACAAATAATAAAATTGGGTCACATAAAACTATAGTCACCCATTCAGTTTATCTTTAAGAAATCTCTGCTGCCTCAACGTAAGATCTAGAAGAGACCATAACATAAATTACTAAGTTTTAAGGATGACTCAAAAAGTATAGTAATTTACACAAGAGCATAACTCATGCCAAGATTCATATAATTGTAGAGATTAAGACAAAAAATATTAGTGCTATCTGTATGACTCTTCAATATGCTGTAAACGTTTTTAAAAGTTGCTCATATTTGGCAGTGCTTAATTGAATATTTAACAATAAAATGACTGACACTACCATTTTACTGATGTATCCTAACAACTACAACTCATTATTTGATCTTTAAAAAAACAGAAGCAGAAGAAAAGAACAGCTTCCAAGCTGAAGATTATATTGAAAATAAAAAGTATTATAGAGTTTGGACAGTGTGTATTGTCTTATCCAAGACAAAAGCAATATTCACGTTCATCTGGCACTCTAATTTTTTTTTTAAATCCGCCATGCTGCTAGGCACAGTGGTTGCACATCTATGATCTCAGCACTCCGGACAGATCATGAGTTCCAGGCCAGCCTGGGCTACCTTAAAAACAAACAAACAAACAAAACTGAGAAAAAGAGGTTATTTTAAAAATAAATTTGAGAGAGAGTTAATAAGTGCTTTAGTCTTCTAGCATCAGAAAAGTCAACTTGGCCTCAGAAGTCAGCTGCTAGGAGGTTGTTGTCTGGTAGTCATTTGCTCAATGTAGCTCAGCAAGAAAAAAACTGGCTGTTAAAGGAGTGCATTCCCCACTCAGCTTGGGACGTGAATCTACTTTCAAAGCATTTAGTAAAAGTCCATCTTTTTGAAAGGCGAGATGGCTCTCTCAGGTAGACAACAGATCTTCCTAATAAAGGGTATTTCCCTTCTTGGGAAGTTGAGATGAAACAAAAATTTCTAAAAGGAAACTATTCCATCCCACGCTCCGTAGAAAGAAGGCAAATCGCCACCTCCAAAGTATTTTTGTTTTTTATTTGTTCTCCTGCTAATCTCACAAGGATGACAGCTTAAGACAAAGCCCACTCAAGTTTACAGCCACTACAAAACCACAGAGCCAGCACTGAAAGGTACCAGTAATGGTTCACACCAGTGGCAGACATAGAACCCAAAAAGAGAGCTCAGAGATAAAACGTCAAAAAGTGGAAAGTAAATGCAAGAAGGAAGGGCAGAAAGGACAGAAAAACAATACCGGAGAGGAGTAAATGGAGAAGTCCAAAAAACAAGTGTGAAAAGAAAGTAATGAGGCCAATTGTTTTTGGTGTAAAAAGACTACTAATCTCTGGTAACAGAATTCAGAGTTCAGTCTTCATCAAAAATTGGCAATTTCTCTGAGTCAATGAGAGAGTTTGCTTGGAAGCTTTGCATAAAAGCACATACCAGTTCTTGTTCCATTTGTGTGCAAACTCCACAATCAGGAGTAGCTGGATACCTATGAAGATGAAGGCTCCGATGGCTCCCACATAACGCCAGGCTGTAAAGAAAAACCGTGCAATAGGCAATGAGGTGAGTGTTCCATGTGGTTAGCTTAAAAGGAAGGATTCATTTTTACTGAATGCTTATTATACCTTAATCACAAATCAATTCACACAAAAACACATAAGGTGGGCGCTATTATATGCACTCACTTCACAGATGATAAACCAAGAATCTATGTGGTTTGGCAAAGCATCATACATGGCAAAAGGCACAGCTGGGATCTGAACAGTCTGATTCTACAGCATGCAAGCTTAACCTCCATGCTAAACTGCCAGATGAAGTAATTCACAAAATCCCCAATGGAGCACAGTTTAAAAACAAAAACACCTATCACCAAAAAAATCAAGAGTTTAAATCTTATTGGGGAAAGAGTCACCAATACCCAGTGACAAAATGAGGTTCAGCCTAGAAGGGATGAGGGCTTCTTTTGGCTCTTCCATCTCATGTGGGTTGCACATATCAATAAAAATGACAAAGCTATGATGAAGACTTATAGTGTTCTTCTCATTCTAAATATTCTATCCTAAATATACATAAAATAACTAGATCTCTCTGTGGAAAATAACAAGATGAGTTAACAGTATAGGTAAAAGCAAGACCTGGTTATAACATTTTTTGTTTGTTTGTTTGTTTGTTTTTTGAGATAGGGTCTTTCTACCCCAAGCTGGCCTTGAACTCATGATTCTCCTACCCCAGCCTAGCTGGGCTGGGACTATAGACATATACCACCATGCCTAGCCTGGACACAGTATACTTAAGAATATGAAAACAGGATCAAAGTACATTATATGCACATATGAAAATGTCACAATGAAACTTATTACTTTGTATAATTTATATATGCTAATAAAAATAAAATAATAAAGAAGCATATGAAAAGCTAGTATGATCCTAAAAACTTAGCCAGACCCTAATATATAACTGTCTGAGGGACTATAGCTATTTTTTATCAACTAGCACAATGTGAATGTTTTTACTATCTTAATTAGGAAAGTGAATCTATTTGGGTTGAACACAGCATTTGGAACCACCAAAATTCAGGGACCTCTCCTCCCCTTCCAGCCCAAGATCAAAATGAGTAACAGGGCCCTGTTTCGGCAATGGCTAAAGGCTTCATATTAGATGAAACTTGGGTTCTATTTGTAAGGAACACAATTCAATGTTACATAGCTTCACATAAATTCTAGAAGCAAACTGGAGGATGCCTTCCTTCCCCATTTTCACTGCTGGAAAGCCTCTGTTTTGTGTTGCTGGGCTTTCTATACAGTGCTCAGAAAGAAAAAGGCCTCCCCTGGGCTGTTTGGGGTCATGCTAACATGATAAACTGGTTTTCAAAGCAAAATTTTAAGTGTCTCATTTTCCCTTAAGGCCAATAACCTTAAAATTATCATTTCAATTCTTCAGCCAGCAAAGTAACAAAAGGTCCTCTTATTACAGGTTACCTAGAAGGGGAACAGGGCAGGGGGTAGTGAGGATATGTGGGCAGGTGGGCAGGAATTCTTCTATAGCCACAAGAAAATCAGTGATTCAAAATATGAAAGGCACCATGGACTAAATAATAATTTGATAATTTTACAGAACAGGTAAAAACAAAATAAATGATACACCAAATTCCCCATCTGTACCGTTCAGAAAGGTCTCCTGATCCGGAATGAAGAAAGCTCCTGAACACATGGCTCCCAGCAGCAGAAGTTTAAAGAACCAAAAGCTGAAAAGGGGGAGGGAGAGGAAGAGACAGAAAGAAATGTATTTAAATGATATTCAAAGAAGAACAAAAAAACTTTTGGAAGGTAGCATGTCAATGCATGGTTCTGCCATTGGTAGTGTTCTCTCCAAATGGAGGGGAAGTAATTAAGTGACTGCAGAATGCCTTTTCCCATAATTAGACACACTTGGCCTCCCATTGTGTGCAACTGCATTTCATTGCAGGGGTGGAAATGACCTGGAAGAAGGGCTTTAGTACAAGAAATAAACTCTTTGTCTCCAGTGAATTTCTCATCATGGTACCAGGTGTTACAAATAGCATTGTAGCTCCTAGGCTATTGGGTAGTGACAAGTAGAAGTTCCCTAAAATCTGGGTCAATGATTTAACTAGAGAACAAGCAGCTGGGGATCTGAAGGGTAGGTAGAAGGGATCTTGGATGTGTCCCAAAATATAAGGAAGGAGAAGCAATCCCCCTGAAAACAGAAAACTTACCCATTGTGAATATGGGCTCTACAGCTTTTACTGGTATTGATTTTCAAGGTCAGTAGGCAGAAGACAAAGAAGAAACAAGCCATTCCAAAACAGACTCTATACACTGCAGAATACCCCACCAGCTTCTCACAGGTGTCACCGGCTTTAATGCCTTTACAAAAGTCTTCAAAAAAAGGAATCTGAGGGAAAAGAGAAAACTGTCCATTAGAACTAGGTTAGAGAGGCATTGTCTTCAGTGTTCATTCAGCCTGAAGTCAAAATACAATGTGCAAATGGACTGTGTACATAAGAAAACAAAGACTGAGGGAAAAAAATCTATCTTGTAAAGACTTTTTCTTAATTTTCCCTGAATCTTTTTTAAAGAATATAGTTCTCATAAAATATCACTCAGCCTTTACTTGTCCCAGTGATTTCTGAAGTGCATTATCAGAATTTTCACTACATTTCTAATACATGGGTGTTTTCTTTTTCCTTGAAATGCACAAATATATAGAATACAGAGTGAGAAACACCTTCGCCATCACCTCAGAATGTCACTCCCCTCCTTCAGGAGAGTCAACAACTTTGTAGGCAGGGGAATTTTATAGAAATAGAACTGTATATGTAATATAAACATGACACAGTCACTCCCCTCCTTCAGGAGAGTCAACAACTTTGTAGGCAGGGGAATTTTATAGAAATAGAACTGTATATGTAATATAAACATGACACACATATATGCACTCAATAGTACTATACATGCAGTGGATACATAAAAATAGCTTTTATAAAAAAATATTTGGGCTGGTATAGCTCAGTGGTAGAGTGCTTGCCTACCATGTGTGAGATCCCCAGCACCACAAAAAACAATTAAAAGACTATATGTAATGTTTTGTAATGTTTATTTTTTTTCAAATTAGTAATATTACATGGAGATCTCTGTCTGTCAATACACAAAATTCCACCCCATTTTTTTTTACCACTATCTGTGACAGCAAGGCTAGGTCAAAACTGATACACATTTGGACACTGATTATTTTTGTTGGGGATGGTTTTTTGTCGGAGCCAGCAGTGGGACCTTGTCTGTGTGAATTGGCATCTGGTTTTGTGAGAAAGCTCCAAGGAACTGGGGCAAAAGTCTCAGACCAGACCTTCCCTGTGTGAGTTGGTATCTGGCCTTGTGAGAAAGCCCGACATCCAGAAAAACAGTATTCAGGGTTCCCAGATGACTTCATGTCCTTCAGATGTAAATAAGAAAGTTATGTTGACTGTGTGCTTCTCCTGCTTCTCTGTTCCCGTTTTAAATGAGACATAACAAAGAGTTAATTTTAACTGTGCTTCCCTGTGCTAATGTAACCTTGACACGTAATGCTTTTTCTGACCAAATGCTCTCTGTTTAAAAGGAGTTTATAAAAAGCAATGTATACTTCATTAAAGTGGCTATTGAGCAGGACTCAGTAGACCCCTCAGTTTATTTAGTGCAATCATTTTGTGTATTTTTTCTCCTGTGGATCTGTCTATTGTCAGTTTATTTCATAGACTAAAATTACCAAACACTCAGAGGAAAAGTTTGAACTTTCCTATAATACCAAACAAACACATATGTAGGGTTTCCAGATTAAATACAGAATGTCTCATTAAATTTCAAATAAACAGTAAATAGTTTTATAGTATAAATCTGTACCACATAATATCAGACATCCTTAGCCTGAGGAGCTCATGTGACAAATTTATACTAAAACTTTTTTGGCAAGAGATGAAGCTGGAAAGAAGTCCAGGTCTTCTTGGGAAAGGCCCTGGTCATGCCACACTTAGAAGTCTGGGCACTGTTCAGTAGGCAAGCTGGAATTCCTGTAACTGCAGAGGGAAGGACACATGGGGTGGAATGAGGCAGGAGGGCAAGTCTGAAGGCCCCGGGCAATAGGTAAAAGGTCAACCAGTAGAAATTCTATGGGTAGAATTCCCAATTGGAAGGATGTGTATGACAAAAATGACATGAAGGATTGGTAGAGGGATCTTTTTTGGGGGATAAAGCCAGAATTGGGCAAAGAACAGGCAGACAGAGCAGGAGTTTGTTTTTCACACATGGTTTGAGGCAGCTGAGGGCATCACCACTGGACCCAGTGAGAATACCCAGTCCAGAATTGGATCAGCAACTAGGACTGAACACAAAAGCACAGAAAGCATTCACATGTAAGGAATGACAGACTCCCATGAGTGCTCTCTGAAGGAGTCTGAATTTTTAGCTGAGTTGTAATGGGACTCAGCACCCACCTTGGTTAAAAACTTCACATGTTGTTAAGCCGCGGGGACCACACACATAATGAATGTTTCAGGGATTCTAACAAGAAATGAAAGTCCTATCTTTATAAACAGTACTTGGTGACAAGAAAATAATGGTGCTTTAAATCTGTAAAAGATATTTGATAAAGAAGAAACTATACAACCTTATTTATTATGAGGGTGCTTTATTTACATAGAATTTTTTTTCTTATTTCTTTTTATTTTATTATTTATTTAAGAGACAGGTTCTTGCTATGTAGCACTTAAACTCCCAATCCTCCTGCCTTAGGATTTACTTTTCTATAATATCATTAAATTCTTCTTCTTCTATTTTTTTGGTGGTACTGGGGTTTGTGCTTGCCAGGCTGGTGCTCTACCACTTGAGTCACTCTGCCAGCCCTAAATTCTCTTCTTCTCTCCCTTCTCCCACTCTGTAAGCAACACTAATTCCTGAGCCCCGCTCCACTACAATACATGCAACATTGCCACCTTTTCCATCCACATGGGCCCATTTTTCACCTCTACCCTCTTAACCCTCCTGCCTCAAACTCACTCTTCCTTCCTTCTCCCTCCAAACACCAGCAGGCCCAGTCTTCTATGCTATCGGCCCCAGCAAACACTGCCTTGCTTGTTTACTCCAGTCTACCTAGACTGTGCCCAGAGCCCCTTAGGCTCCTCAAGGGACAAGTATGTGTCGCCACACATTTCACCCAAACTAAAAGCAGGCAAACAACGCCCTGCTCCAAATACTAACCAAGCCTCCTTTATGCTCTCTGGGTGACTTTGCATATTTAGCCTTCAGTAAGTGGTGAGTATTTTTAGGCAAAAACCCTCCAAGTTGAACAAGCCAATGGGATTTTAGCAAGAGGAATTTGCTCTGATTAAATATTTGCTGTTCCAAACTCCATCCTAATTTTGGAAAAGGAAAACGTACATCACATGCAGATTCTACAAGCAAGAGTTTTACCTCTTAAACCTGCTCTGGGCATCTGAGGACACAACATGTAAGCCAGGCACACAGTCTGTGTCATTTCTGTCCAGGTCTCTGATGGCAAGGGGTTACCTCCCATCTCTCACAGCAACCAAACTCAAACCACAAACGTCAAGTAAGAAGAAGTACCTCACATGGGCTTCAAATCCTGACTCCATTGCTCACTTGGGCAAGTTATACCACCTCCCCAGTCTCAAATTCCCCATCAGTAATATGAAATAATCTCATGGAGATGCTCTAGGAATCACATCAGATAAGCCTTGTGACTTGCTGACCACAGTTCCTAACCTACTGTAGTCATTAGTAAACTTCCTTAGCTCTAAGGCACTATCTAGTGTTTAGAAAGAAAGAAGTTTCAGGGAAGGGAGCTAGACACCTTGCAAGGATCTGACTGATGGATGCATTCCAACCTAAACCTGGGGAAAACTAGCATCTTAGAATATAGGAGATACTGTATTCACCTTCCAGATGATTCACTACAAGTCAACTTCCAATAAGGTGAATCTTTCCTTGGTATTCTTCTGTAAGAAATGAGCTCCAGCTAGGCATGGTGGCCAAAGACTAATTCCAACAGTCCAGAGGCTGAGGCAAGAGGATGGTGAGTTCAAGGCCAGCCTGGTCTACATAGTGAGACCCTGTCTCAAAAAACCAAGAGCTGGAAATCTAGCTCAAGGCAAAGCACTTGCCTAGCATGTGCCAGGCCTGGGATCCAATTCCCAGTCCTACAAATACAAACAAAACAAAAGAGATTTTTAAAAAAAGATCTAAGTTCCAAAAGGCCAGCACTCTTTCACAGACCTAGTCCTCTCCGAAAATAAACATCTCCAAAAAATGAGAGTAAGTATGAAGCTCACACTTATGAAGAGGCTGGAAGAAGCACCACATAATTTTGCCTACAAAGGAGGTGTCAGCAATGTCACTCAACAACTTCATTCTTAGGAGAATAAATCTCAAGAAACATGAGAACGATGACAGAAAGACCTGCTGGTCTAGTTGGCCAGAGGCCCAGATGCCACAACCATGGGACAATAATACATATATTATATATAGAGATAAATCATATATAGACATGTCATATGATATATAAATTATATGTATCAGAGAGAGACATACACAGAGAGAGAGACAGACAGACTTTGGGAGTGGTTCTTATAAAAATATAGAGGAGGATGAGCTCATGCGCCTATAATATCATATGAGTTAAGAGATAAAAATGTGGCATTAGCAAAGCTAATTAGTCTTATGTTTCATTATCTCAAACTTCTAGAGCACTGAATGAAAACAAGCTACTGAGAAAGCTTTGGGCAGCTCAGCATGAACAATGAATTAAGCTCACAGAAACCAGAAGAACAAGATCTGCAGATTCTGTTTAATCTCTCTCACTTGGAAAGAATTTCAGAGTGGCAAGCCTCTGGCAGTCAGTCAGCCTCCTTTTGTGATATTCCACTCATCTTCAAAACTTTCCAAGAGAGTTTTCTTTGTGAAGTAATTCCAGACTCCGTGCTAGCGGTGTCTGCTAGTCACCCACCAGTGGACAAGCGTACTATGATGGGAATACACACCAACCCTCCCCCTCCCCAGACAGACTGGACAACCAGGGTCCATTCCTCAGTCAGCAAGCATCCTTGTGGCTCTTTGTGGGATCTGGGAACTATTTTAAAACAGTAACAACCAGTGCCCACTTCTCTTTTGTTTAGGTACCTGAACATTTTTTTTAAGAGAAAAGTCTACGTTGTATCCTTATTAAAAGCCAAAAGGAAGAATTAAAATTCCAGAGTCTAATTTTAAAGCAAAGATAGACAGGTCCTACATTCACAGCTCCTCTATTTGTGGTTATCATATAATACACCTAGAAAATGACTCTAATTAAAGTGTTAAATAAGTTTTGCATCCAAATAAGACAACTGGCAGAGGACTAGCTAATCA